TACTTCCTGCCACTGTCATCGGTGTGATGAGTTGATGGAGGCCAGCAAGTATCTCTTAAACGTCGGAAGATTTTTTACCAGACTACACTGCGCTACAACCGAGAAGACTGTCAACTTCTTGCGTAAAGTCGGTCGTCATTGCCTCGTTTCTGAAAATCTCACCTCATCGCTTTGCTGTTCTCGCTCGTGTAGATGGGACTTTACAGCCTGTGTGTTTGTAGGAATGGAATGTTGGACATGATATGGGAAATTGAAGCTGCCAGGAAGGATGTAATTAGGTTTGTAGAATGTGGAATCAGTCACTGCACGAACCCATATTATCGATTTCAGACGAATTTCATGTCGTGGTACATTGTGTCTGTAAATCATTTCCGTTGTTGTAGTTGTGATTTTAATTGAGATGTAAACGTCGAATGGGTATTATACATGTAAAGACAACAGATTGTTTGCGTCAGTCGATACATTTCTCAAGCTCCCAACACACAAACTTAAGTGGTTTAGAATTTTATTGCCGATTCAAACATGGAGGCTCTTGTTTTCTGTTTTAAAATGCTTAATACAGTTTACCTAATGGTGGTAGTGTATGTTGTATCCATGACTGCACGTTCGAATGTCTTAATCGTCTCAGCCATGGCATATTCGGGTCTTATAAAGGACTTCCAATCTTCTAAAAACTGCGTTGCAGCTTGTAGTGGGAGAATAATTCGGACCGCCGAGATATGTACAGTACAGACTTCATCTCGCGCATTGCCAAGTGCGCAGTCACGTTTTGGAAACAAGACTTCATGATTCTTTGTTATCATCGCGATGTGATAAGACTCGCTGTAATGCTTATGAATGGAAATACGTAAACGACCTGTGTTTAGACACACGTCTTTTAAAGACTTTTATTATTTATTTAGTGTTCTGTCTGACGACAGGTCCATATGAACAGGATCCTTCGATCCTTTTCTCGGACTGGGACCTGTTCATATACGTTCTTGGCAGATGATCCAGAAGTGGTTTGCCATTGCCTTCTTCTGTGTGTGAATGGGGTAATTGTTGGGATGCCACGGAGGAAAACTCCGCGTTGCCTAGACCACGGCCTTGCCCAACACAAGTTATAAATTCGGGCACCGCCGGGAATCGAGCCCGAGACCCCAGGATTACAAGGCCAGCGTTCTAAACGCTAGACCACCGTGTTGGTTTTTACACACTCGTAATGTCTGTAGCCTCATTTCACTCTTCACTCTCACGATTTGCACTTGCAAGTACGTGTATTCGTATTGTTCTTAAGAATGTGGTTGACAACCGTTTGTCAGAGGTCAGAAATAATTATTCTTTGGGATTATTGCCGAAACATTGCTAAAATAGTGTTCATCGTCAAATGCGGTAATGTTTGTGACCTACCGTGGCTTCATTTCCCGGCGTTGGCATCGATTCTTTTCTTACCGTGTCGAGACTGGCATCGGGAGGTCACCTTCATCTGTCGTCGATGTTGAGAATGGAAAATGTACCACTACTCCCTCGCACGTCCTTAAGGCGTGGTCCTTATTTAAAGCAAGGAAGACCCAGTGGGGGGGGGGGGGGGAA